TCACGGAGCTTAGAACCCTAATCAGACACTGCAACTATAACAGCCCCGAGATAGAAGACCGCCTAGTGCGTGACAAGTTCGTAGTCGGCTTATTGGACGAGAAGCTATCGGACCAGCTGTGCCGTTCCACACGACTCACCGCTGACGAAGCACTTTTACAAGCCCGCCAGCACGAAGATGCTGAGAGGGAGCGCGCTTCTCGTTCGGCGCAAGCTGCAGCGGCCTTGAACGTCGACGCGACGAAGAAAAAGACTGCGTCATCCGCTCCGTCGTCGCGCGCACGTAACCGGCAGCAGCGTTTGGACAACGCAGTTTGTGGCAATTGTGGGCGTTCTGCGCATGACCGCAAGGATTGTCCAGCACGGAAGGCAACTTGCAATTTCTGTAAAAAGCAAGGTCATTTTGCAGAAGTTTGTCGCGCGAGGAAGCGCAAGGAGAAGTTGGGCCTCGTCGAACTCTGCTCTGTTCGTACGCAACGGGCAAGATACGTCGAAGTAAGCGTCAACGGCCACGTGACAAGGTTCAAGGTGGACTCGGGAGCAAACGTCACCGTCGTTCCGCCGTCGCTTCCAGGCGTTCCTCGCAAGCTCGACGCAGTAGAAGGAGAGCTCATCGGCCCGGGGAACCAGCCACTGCCTGTTTTGGGCACTTTCCAAGCTACTCTGGCGTGGAAGGACAAGCGCACCGTCCAACAGCTTTACGTCATGCGGGCTCAAACTACACCGCTTCTAGGGTTACCTGCGATAGAAGCTCTCAGCGTGGTCAAGTTTGTGAACACCACCTCCGCCGAGTCCGGAAAAACGGATGGACGTGTCCCATCTTCCGACGCTCGTGTCGGCTGTGTTCCATCTTCTGACGCCCATATCTTTAAAGGACTGGGCGAACTCCAAGAAAAGTACACCATTCGTCTGAAGTCAGGGGCTCAGCCGTACTCGTTGAGCGTTCCAAGACGAATACCGCTGCCGCTCTTCGACGTCGTCAAGAGAGAACTTGATGCCATGGAAGCTCAAGGTGTCATCAGAAGGGTTGACAAGCCGACAGCATGGTGCTCCGGACTTGTCGTCGTCCCCAAGTCGTCGGGTGGGTACAGGCTGCGCGTCGACCTGACCAAGTTAAACCAAGTCATCGAGCGGGAGCGATACGTCCTGCCGACGGTTGACCAGATCCTGGGGCAGCTAGGCGACGCCAAAGTGTTTTCAAAACTCGACGCGACCTCCAGTTTCCACCAAATCAAGCTCAGCGACGCAAGCGAAGAATTAACGACGTTCATCACGCCGTTTGGTCGCTACTGCTACCGTCGTTTGCCATTTGGTCTGGCGTCTGCACCCGAATATTTTCAACGTCAAATGTCACGGGTCCTGGAGGGGTTGCCTGGCGTCGTGAATATGATCGACGATGTCCTTGTTTACGGTAGAGACCTTGAACAGCACGATCAACGCCTTGCTGAGGTACTCCGACGACTTGAGCAAGCCGGGGTCAAGCTCAACGACCAGAAGTGTGAATTCCGGGTTCCCTCGGTCAAGTTCCTCGGAGTCGTCGTCGATGGAGATGGTATCTCGCCGGATCCCGACAAGCTTCGAGCCATTCGGGAGCTACCTCCGCCAACGGACGTTGCAGGCGTTCGCCGTCTACTGGGGATGGTGAACCACATTGGACGCTTCCTGCCGCACCTTTCGGACGTAACTGCCCCCATCCGTTCACTCCTCAACAAGTCAAGCGCATGGTCCTGGGGAGCAAGCCAAGATGACTCGTTCAAGCGGTTGAAGGCTATGCTGAGCTCGGAAACCTGCATGGCAAAGTACCATGCATGCTATCCTACGATACTGTCCGCAGATGCAAGCTCATTTGGCCTGGGAGCGGTACTGCTGCAAGATCAGCCGTCCGGAGCTCGTCGTGCTGTGGCCTTCGCTTCAAGGTCCTTGACTCCGACTGAAGCACGCTACAGTCAGACAGAAAAGGAAGCTCTCGCCGTGACCTGGGCTGTTCTTCGGTTCGACCAGTACCTGCGTGGGCTTAGTTTTACCGTGGAATCAGATCACCTGCCTCTCGTCGCCCTGCTGGGAAAAAAGGAGCTGGAGTTGCTGCCACCGCGAATTCAGCGAATGCGCATAAAGCTGATGCGCTACCAATTCGACGTTCGGCACGTACCAGGTAGACTTCTTGCCACGGCGGACACGCTGTCACGTGCCCCTTGCGATGTCCGGTCTTCTTCTACAGTAATCTCCGTCGAAATTTTCGCTAGCAAGATATTTAAATGTCTTCCACCTCCCCTCGCTAACAGGCTGGAAGAGGTTCGTCGTCGACAAGCTGAAGATGGAGAATGTTCTCTCGTCGTCCACTACTGCCAAGAGGGATGGCCAGACAAGAGGAAGCTGCCTCCCAACTTGGTGCCGTATTGGAAAGAGAGAGGAAGGTTGACAGTCTCGGAGGACCTTCTTCTGCAGGACTGCCGCCTCGTTATTCCTGCTGCTCTGCGTAGCAACGTCCTGGCCCTTCTGCACGACGGCCATCAAGGACTTCGCCGCTGTAAGGAGAGAGCCAGAGAAAGCGTCTGGTGGCCTAACTGCAACAGCCACATCGAACATTTGGTCACCAGCTGTGACAAGTGTGCGGAAACAAGGGTTGTACACTCGGAGCCCTTGATGTCAACGCCTACACCAGATCGGCCATGGCAACGCCTAGCCATTGACTTGTTTCAGCTGAAAGGCCGTGATTATGTTCTCATGGTGGACTATTACTCTCGGTTTCCGGAAGTCGTCTCCTTGAGCTCTACGTCAGCCTCAGCGGTTATCGCGGCTATCAAGAGCTGCTTTTCCCGACATGGGATACCGGACGTTGTACGGACAGACAATGGTCCGCAGTTTGCTTCACAGGAATTCGCAAACTTTGCTCTGTCATACGGTTTCCAGCATGAGACCAGTAGCCCTCGGTACCCGCAGAGTAATGGCGCAGTAGAGCGCATGGTGCGCACGGTGAAGGATCTTTTGTACAAGTCCGAAGACCCATACCTAGCGCTTCTCACCTACCGGGACACTCCGAGCGTCGCAGGAGTCTCTCCTGCCATGTTGCTGATGGGTCGGCGGTTACAGACGCGTCTTCCTGCTCTGCCGCAGCGACTCGCACCAGTTCAACCAAGCCACGAGAGGTTCCGGGCTCAAGACTCCAGGAATAAGGTCAGGCAGGCGAGAGACTTCAATCGCCGGCACAACGCTCGCTCTCTTAATCCTCTCAAGCCAGGTGACAGCGTCTGGGTCACGGATGCCAGCTGTCAAGCACGCGTCCTGAGCCCTGCCCAACGACCACGGTCGTACGTCGTAGAGACTCCCAAGGGAATCCTACAGCGAAACCGCCGGCACCTGGTGCCCTTCTCGCCGACCGTTACTGCGAGGGAGTCTGTCGAGCTTCCTGCTGCCGAAGAGCCTCCAGGACAACCACCCGAAGAAGGTCAGCCTGGGGAGTTGCCCACTGCGGGCTGCTCTTCACCCTCTCTGGATCGTGCATCTTCCCCGCAAGGTGTTACAAGATCACGCTATGGACGTGCCATCAAGCCACCAAGACGGTTGGACTTGTAAACATTGCTTTCTTTCGAACTGTGTAACTAGAGTGCAGTAACGAGCTCCGGGGGGAGATGTAGGGGAGACCAAGAGATGGCGCCAGGAGCGCATCGTGATCTAGAGAAGCGCGTGCGCCGCGAGACGCGGGGGACTTTTCGCCACTGGATGCTAGGGTAATAAACGTTGTGGGTCTGCTTCGTCTACCCTCGTCTGCTTCGTCTGCCCGGCTGGCGCGTCGCGCCCAGAGCACACAAGCTCTGAACATAACTATAGCCCAACAAAGGCAGCCAGGAAAGATCTTCATTATTCTAATTCACCGCTACTACTAAGGCAGGCATCCAAGCATTTTAGAACTGACTGCTCTCAAAGAGACAGTTTTATGAGCTGCATAAATTCACCAGTACAATGATTTAAAAACCATCACAGCTTAAATCTTTATATCCTTGTCGCATGCAAGCACTTTTTCACACGCTGTTCTATGATGGTGTGGTGTCATGACACAGGGTGGTTAACCAAACCTGCACATGCAGGAATGATGGCACCAGAGTGAAAAATTATTAGGTTAGTTTCAGGTGTTCATACGAGTTTTTATTTGCTCTCATTTCATTCCAGGTTGCAGGCTGCTGAAGCCGCAGACACCCAGGAGCATGAGTGACTGCAGATAGCCGGTTCTTGTATTTTTCTTTTGCTGTCAATTTATGTTTCTTATTTGTGCTAGTGAATGTTTTCTTCTAATGTTTTTAATAAAAACTGTATCTTTTTCTTGGTAGCTCTTCTATAGAAACATTCAAAACTGGGTGAATTAAATTAAGGTATGTACGTATATTCATCTCCAGCATAAAATAACTTTTTCCTGGGAACATACCCAATTACCATGTCAGACTCTTGAGAATTTGATATTGTGAAATGGTAACAGCCCACAAAGCCAATTCTCGGCTTAAAAATACCAATTGGTTCCCAGACGAAAATCTGTCCACTTCCTGCTGGATTATGGAACTGGAAATGAGGCAGTCCAGATGGATTCCAGCTGGACTGCCTCATAGTTCCATAATCCAGCTGGAAGTGGACTGATTTTCGCCTGGGTTTTAATTTATTTATTTGTATTGTTATTTATTTATTAAATAATAATTGGAAGTCTAGAAACACAAGCCGTTATTGTTCCCATAGGAAAATACCAATGGGTATTTCTCCAATTGGGAACCCAAAAACGCAGATGGTTACAGTCCAGATTGGAAAATACCAATGGGTGTTTTTCCAGTTGAGAGTTCAAAAACACAGATGGTTATGGTTCCAACTGGCATTTTTCCCACTGGCATTTTTCAAACTGGGAAATTACCAATTGGTATTTCTTTAGTTGGGAGTCTGAAAACACGGATGGTTACTCCAACTGGTACCAACCGAAAAAACCAATTGGACCCAATCGGTATTTTTTAACTGGATGGGGATATGACGTACTGCAAAATGTGCAAGGTGGAGCTGAGGCCAAATGTCCAGGACCTCAAACTTCACAGAACAAAGCTGAAGCACCAGAACAATCTCCTGCGGTTCACCCCTTCACTTGCGGGACGGATAGACTCCTTCGTGACAGCGCGGTCAAGGGATACCAAATCCACCACTGCTTCTAAGGATGTCAAAGCCACCAAACTACGTTTGGCAAATCACCTCGCCACCCACGGGGCCTTCCTCACAGCGGACCATCTGACGTCCCTTGTGAAAGACTTAATCAAGGATTTGTCAGTTGCAACGTTGGTGACCATGGTCCGAACGATGTGCGCTTGTAACGAAAGTATTCAGACCTACCTTTAAGGATCTTCATTTTACAGAGCTAAAGAATGTTCCGTATTCATTGATTCTTGATGAAAGCACTGATGTGGCAAGAAAGAAAGAGATGGCTGTTGTAGTTAGATATTTTTCGCACAAATCGAGCAAGTTTATTGCTGCATTCTTGTGCATCATTCTAGATTTTGATGCCTCGTCCAGAGGTCTCTTTTCATACTGGAACTTTCTGGAAAATAAGAACCTGGATCTAGCTGACTGCTGGTGTCGGTCCAGCTGGTGCAAGCATGTTGTGTAACAAGTACAACAGCCTTTTCACTAACATGAAGGAAGTGAACCGTCGTCCCATCCTTGTAAAATGCGGGTGTCGCTCCCTCACTCACAAGGACTATCTCGTCCATCAGACCTTTCCAAAGAGGCAGCAAATGTACAAGGCCATTTATGAGGCTATCAATACAGGAAAGGTACCCAAAAAGCTCGTAGGAATGTCAGCCATGCGGTGGCTCAGCATTTCTGGCGCAATGAAAATAGTTGTGGATCAGTGGCTGGAACTGAAGATGCACTTTGATGTAGCCAGGTGCCAGGACCGCTGTTATTCCGCCAAAGTACTAACCAAAATGTACCGCGACGAACAAACCTTTTCGCTCGTAACATTTCTAAGCCCTCTAGTTGCGGAGTTCGACCAGATCAATAAGATCTATCAGTGCGAGAACCCTGACCCGGTAGTGCTGCACAAGAATCTGTCCTCATTTGTCACATCTCTCATGAAAAGAGTGATAATGCCACCTCACGCGTCGCCCAAGTGCAGTAACTGGGAGGACCATGTGCTTCATGTGCGCACGTACGGCATGGGGGGTGTCCCAAGTAAAATTGATGTGTTGTAGATATGTTGCGGGAACGTTCCTAATGTTGTGGGTCTGTTGGGAGTTTTTGCGCACAGTCCCCAATGTTTCTGACACAACAGCGATTGACACGACAAATGCGCAGCGTTACGCTACTGTTGCGAACCCCATGCTGCCTGAAAAGTCGGGATAAGACAATGTACAACGTTTTCTAGGCGGCATATTTTAAAGGTTGTGCAACTACAGTGCAGAACATGTTTCTTATGCAATGCGGCATCGCTGTACTAGAGACGCGAAAATAGAGACTTTGTGTAGTAAACTGTCTCTAATTTGCTTCTGACGCGACATTGATCGTCACGTAAAGCCGCAGGGTTAGGCACTTCGAATTCCATACTGCCTGGAAAACTGCCTAATAATAGTCGGAAAAAGGCTGAAGGTACAACGTTTGCTAGGCGGCATAATTTAAATGTTGAGCAACTGCAGCGTGCGTCATATCTTTCTTATGCAATGCGGTATCAGTGTAGTACAGACCCAAAATTGCAACGTTGTGTAGTAAAGTATTCATAATTTGTTTCTGAAGTAACATTGATCGACACAACAGACACAGCATTACACTGATGCTTCTAACTCCATGCTGTCTAGGTAACCGTATACTAAAAGTAAGAAAAAGGCTGAAGGTACAGCTTTTGCTAGGTGGCATAATATAAATGTTGTGCAACTGCAGCGAGCGGCATGTTTCTTAAGCAACGCAGTATCACTGAAGTACAAACCCAAAATCGCAACGCTGTGTAGTGAACCGTCTCCAATTTGTTTCCGACGCAACATTCAGCGACATGACTAAGACACAGCGTTACACTAGCGCTTCAAACTCCATGCTGCCTAAGAAACTTTATACTAAAAGTAAGAAAAAAACTGAAGGTAACATGTTTGCTAGGCGGCATAATTTAAATGTTGTGCAACTGCAGCACGCGTCATGTTTCTTATGTAACGTGGTATCAGTGAAGTACAAACCCTAAATTACTACGCTGTGTAGTGAACTGTTTCCAATCTGTTTCTGACTCAACATTGACTGACACGACAAAGACACAGCGTTGCGCTAGCACTTCAAACTGCATGCTGCCTAATAAACCGTGTACTTAAAGTTGGAAAAAGGCTGAAGGTACGAAGTTTGCTAGGCGGCATAATTAAATGTTGAGCAACTGCAGCGTGCGGCATGTTTCTTATGCAACGCACTATCAGTGTAGCACAGACGCGAAAATCGCAACGTTGTGTAGTGAACGGTTTCCAACCTGTTTCTCAAGCAACATTGATCGACACGACAAAAACACAGCCTAAGCCGCTCAATCACACTGGCGTTCGAAACGCAAACGCTTATCGGATCTGCCCGTTTTGTCATCAAATAAGCGTGCTATTGCACTAAATCTTTAAGCAAATGCGTCCACAAACGCTTTACAAACGCAACTCAACCGCCAGTGTGAATGGGCCTGCTACTGCTTCGAACTCCATGCTGCCCCGGAAACCATGTACTACAAGTTGGAAAATGGCTGAAGGTAAAACGTTCGCTAGCCCATCCGCTACCAAAGCCGGCATATCGCCGGCCGCGCCAGCAGAGACCTAATTGCCAAAGCCGGCTAATTGCCGGGCTGTCCACTTTTGTAGTTTCAAATGCAACTAAGAGATGGGGCGCTACAACTACCTGTTGCAGAGCTGGGTATGTTGCCGCCGCACAGGTGATGAGTCTTTTCTCATAATTCGTGAATGTTTACCATCGCGACATGGGGGAGAACGCCACAGCTAAAAATATCCCGATCCTCATCACCCCTCGGCCGCAGATGACAACAGGAGACTGGCCGTTGTATCCAATTTGCTATAAATACATTTTCAACCAATCACTTCACATATCCAGCAAACTTTCACCGTGTCAAATAAGCTGTCGTTCATCTCCGACGCCATACTTGACAGCGAATTGCAACGCCGCAACCGGCATGCAATGCGTGCAGAGCCCGGGTTTGAAAGCATTTGAGAGAAAGGGCGCTGCAGCGTTGCCACAGTGTATGAGGCTAAGCTTTATTCTTTATTCAGAGAACTACTGCAGCGCCCAAAAGGCATTATTGCAGGGGGCGAATAATAACGAAAAGAACATATCAGCATTTGCAGCACAAACTATACATTCCTGTAAAGCGTTCCAGTCCTTGACCGTCCTCACAAAAAACAAATTTTTGCAGAGCTCCGTCGTAGTACAATATTCGCATATCTTGTGCACATGATCATTATGTTTGGAAAAATAATTTGGTTTTAGAGGTGTATGAGCTATAAATACCAGTAGCTGCATGATGATTGTATAAAAATTTCAACCGTAAATTTTTTCGCCGAAGATCCAATGACGTCCATCCTAGTGATTCTTTCGTGTTACACTAGAAAAACGGTCGTACTGGCCCAGGACGGAGCGTGCAGCACGATTTTGTATTTTTTCCAAGCCATCAATTCGAATTTTTTTTGGAGTGATGGATGCTTTTGGAGCTGAAGTGAAGATGATGATGATAACCTTTATTCTACTTGCAAACGTAGGCTTCGTCTGCCATCATATCAAACGGCTTCTCTCTCCGCTTGAGACTCTATAAGCTACGCTAGATGGACAATTTGGTCATGCAGGACAACTGGAAATTTGATAATGGTCACACGAACTCAACCTAGCACGACGTTGATTCATATCACACCAGATACAACATCGGTATTAAATATCCTGAAAACGTGTTTTTGCATAAATTTTTATTCGCCAATAGGAAGAGCCACCATATGTGTTAAATGTTGGTTTTTAATAACAGATTGATAATGATGAACACAGCTGGCTCCAATTATGATGTGCCAGCAAAGGTGAAAAGTGGGACGAGAGGGAGCGAAATTTTGGGCAAAGTTTGAGCTATGTACTGTAATGTCGGTTCACAGGTTCGCCAGTGTGCACCACCCACCACCCACGTTTGCAAGTAGAATAAAGGTTGTTATCATCATCATCACTTCAGGATAGGGAAAGGCACCAAAACGGTTGATAGCACATATGTTAAATGTAAGTTCACAAATCATGTTAAAAGTCTTACCATTGGTTTCTATTTGATGCTTTTACGTTCGCCCTCTCCCTCTTCCTCTCTCTCTCCTCGTGGTCTTGTCGTCTGCTTCTGGTGCTCTTAGAGGTTGCCTACCTATTTCAACTAGCCTCCGTTTTGCTGCACAGAACTTCTGAAACGAGGTATAGTTCTCCTGCGTCTCGTCTTTACTCATACCAGTCACTGTTTAGGAGCAAAACCTTTTGACGTTTTTTTTTTTTGGTGATTTGCGTCAATTCTACTTTTCAAGACTTTATCATTCATATGCATTCGGGACAGCATTTCAGGATTTATTGACATGTCAAAATTCTTCGTTGTTCATTTTATCCCAGAGAATACTTATGAGATTGTACCCAATCATTGGGTTTCAAACGCAAAAACATATTGTTGGTGGCCGCCTTCAAATTGTTCTTCCACAAGAATAACGAGGGTGGTGCGCACTGGCGAACCCATGAACCGAGACACGGAAGAAACAGACGCCAATCAAGATCCTTTGCACTAAAGGTAAGCGAAAGAGATGCCCGAGTCCAGCTCGGCAGAAAGATGCTCCCCTCATCACTCGGAGAGCTAATTAATTTTGACAAGTGTTAGCAAGTCCTATTCGCCTTTTGGTGTGAAATCAGGGGCCAAGTATGTCGTATTCCATAACCACAGAGGAAGAGGCCAAATTTGCCCCTCCGCACAGTTCTCCGCAAAGCAGCAAGCGGACTGAAACATCAGGGACATTGACAAGGGAAGTGCCTCAAGGACGTCCGTCAAGGAATCCAACACAAGCTAGGCATCTAGCTGGGAGCATTGGAAGAAATGATGCTGTACTTACAAAGTCATGCAACTCAACCGTAAATAGATACACGCAAAATGTGGGGAGCTCCCGTTACCTTAGCGGTGCCAGTGATCCCGGTGTTACCCGCCCGATATCAAGCGCATTCTCGCTTCCAGCCGGGCCCCTCATGTGTCACGAGAACAGAAGCACAGATTCGCCCGCCACCGCCATGCTGTGCTGTCCAGAAGTAAATTGTTTCCACAGCGGTGTTTTAAGAGCAACACAGAGGTTGAGCGGAGGCCAAGACAGTGCTGGACGTCTTGTCAACAGTCTCCGACATGGTCGAAAAGGAGGTTCTTGCCAGCCTTCTTGAAGGCACAAGTGTCGGCAGGACACTCTTCCATTTTACTCATGTTGCGATTGACACTAAAACGCAGAGAACATACCAACTAACACCTCATGAAGCACCTCATGTGCGAGGCAAAGAATGTCTACAACACCGACGTAGTTCTGGCTGATGATCTGGTTAACACTGAAATGGCCACCTGTGGCCAGTTAAACAATATTAGGCAGGTTGGAGTGCATGTTTATTTCGTATATTCCGAAGAAAAGATACTTAATTTAAGATCTGCATCCTTGCTAATATACCTGTCAAATTTAATTAAAACCACTTATTCCTTATTCTAGAAAAAGTAACACCTTGAAATTCACAATACGTGCTCATGCTTAAAGGATGTCATGCACAGCAGTTATTTCACGTGTTATTAAACTTGCCTTACCTGTGCAAAAGCCAATTCGACACCTTGACTACTGCCCAACATTCATGGAGGAAAGGCATACTAATTGAATACTTATACCCGTTTCCATCTCAAGAAAAAAGCGTTTCGGGCACAGTTCATCTGCAGCACGAAGTAGTCCGTACAAGTTATGGTCGTCAAAGAACAGAACATTGTGTTTTTACGTTTGAAAGACATGTTTTAAAAAAATCGTTCAGCCTTTCCACTCTCGTGGAGAAGGAAGACCAGCGGAGCTGTACTCAATACACTGTATGCTTCTTCTTTGTCGTCGTCTGTTTTGCACGCTGCTTCCTACGATGAATTCCCACCAACATGCCCAACTATCCATTCTTCTATTATAGCTGGAAAGGTTGCCGCCATCTACGAGCAACAGCGGAAACCATACTGGTTGTGTGCTTGCTGCCGTCACTTATAGATGGCGGTAGCTGTCCATGTAGGTTTGTGCCGGCATACACGGACACGATCCTGGGGAACCTAGCCCTTAACAGCTCCGCTGTAAAAAGAACAAATCACGCACCTTATAGCGCATATAAGTATCTCAATCCACCATGAACTACGGAAAATTAGTAGAGCTCCACGTGGATAAGAACTTTTTTTTACCACGGCTCTTGAGGTGAAAATGAGTATAGATGCTTAAAATTTTCTCATGCTTTAATACGCAAACTGTGGCATGTTTCCACTCCTACTAACTTTCCTGTGAAGCACAACTATTTAGGTATATTGTCAGTTTTTGTCAAACCAATATCTTTCCTCTTTTTCGTTGCAGATGCAACGAAGAACGGAAGTTGCGCATCACAAGCTCGAACGCCCACTCAGTTCGTACAAGGAACAAGCCATTCAAGGACTTGGCAATGCAGATGGTTAACAAGAAGCCATTTTCAACAGCGGCAACTCAATATGGTCATATATGTGCAAGTTATATGTGATAAATAGTATCCAAGTTAAATAGTTTCCAAAGCTTAAAGTCGCTGCCGAAACAATGAAGTAATCATATAAATACATACATGACATGAAGAAGACCAGCTTGCTGCAAACATCTTTTTTTTGCGTTCCTGTTCTCTTTTGCACAATAAGTTTTCCTTCTGAGAGTTTCTGCCTTTTCCTTAATTGCATGCAGATCTTCGAAAGGAAGCCTGGGCTTGGAAGGTGCTGGAGAAGAAACTGCGAACTCCAATTCTTGAGGTATGTGTGGCAAAAGTTACGGACTTGTGTTATCTTGGGAACCTATCCTCATGACACGACACATCAAGATCCAGCGGACCAAGCTCTGCCATAACTAGTGCACCAAATAGCACATGACAGACACGTAATGTTGAATAGGCACTGGGACTATTGCTGAAATCAAGGTTAAAGAGAGGAAAGAGCTATAGTAACTTGTGATATAATATAACTATGATTATGAAAATATAAGCACATAATATGTGGCAATGAATACCGAACTATTAAAATTATAGCTGGTCCAGGAGTTTTATATCCTTAAGAAAGTTGAAAACACACTTGTGTGGAATCAACGGCTCATCAACCCGTAAAAGGGCGAGATGTAATGGTGTATGCTATTGGTAGACCTCTGCAAGGTGTCTGTGGCGTTCTTGGTCATACAAAGGGTATACAAGTAAGATATGTGGGATGCTTAACGGACTGTGGCAGTCTTCACACTCCGAAGCATCCACCCCACGCAAAAGATGCCCATGGGTAAGACGTGTATGACCAATTTGCAGTCGGCACAGAACCATCTCGTAAAAATGCTCGCGATGTCGTTCCCTATCCCATTCCTGAACTAGTGATTTTAGTACGTGCAACTCGTTTCCCCTTTCATGTGGGAAAATGTACATAGGGCAAACTGGACGATGCCTTAATGATAGGCTCCGAGAACACGAAAACAATAGCACCAGAGCTTTCTCTGGCCACCTGGGCATACACGTACTGCTGTGATTGCAGGTGCAGGGTTTTCCTGCTATATTTTATAATTTTAGGTAGGCACAGTTATCAACAAACTAGGAAAATTATTGAAGCTGAACACATCGGCAGGAATTATAAAACTGTCGTGGACGAGCGTGGGACCTCTACTTCAGAACTGTTGTTCACGGTACCAGCAAATTCTGACTTCCTTCGAAAGAGAAATTTCGGACAGATCAAACGACGACCCCGTTGGCTCATTGGCCCCGTACGACCTCATACGGGGCCAATGAGCAATGCAGATAAATTCTGTTGCACTCGCTTATCAGTAATTGTCTCAGCTTACTGAGAGGTATCATGACAGAGAAAAATAATGTACAACCGTGACAGAAATGCTTCAGGCTTTCTTTTGATTGGGTGATTTTATGAAACCCATCAATTCCAGAAAGTGAAGAGATTCAGGACATAGCTGGACTAACCAGAGAACAGCCCATTCCTAACACGATGGTAGCCAAGTGCTCTCAAGCGCGCAAGAAGGTATTTGTCCAAATTTGTTTCGGTCTAAGTCTATTTACACCCTGATTAAAGAGCAACTCCAGTCCATACTTTCGATTTTGGGATTATGACTGTTTTTAGTGCAGTCAGCGTCCCTGAATTGCAAGGTGTAATTTTTTTCTCGTTATTGTGCGTAGTTTTAAAGATATCGACGCCTCAAAGTTTTGTTTCGGGCGCGGCCAACAAGACCGAAACTTGCCGCTCGAGGCCCCGGCAACACTGGAAATCAGCTGCGATGTGAATGTGATGTCAGGATCGTTCTCGTTCAACGAGAACGCAGGCTGAGCGGCACTTACCTCTGTTGCGCTAGCTGTCTAAAGATAGGAGGTAAGCTGATTTTGTTTTAATTCTGTATATGTGGTAGTTATCCAGCATATATACCAAGAGCTAGTGCGTATGCCCAACAGCTAGTGACTGCCAAACCCGTGCACTCGTTCGGTGCCGTATTCGGCGGCCGCCGCCGTGCGTGTGCTATGCCTTACTCGTCGCTGGTATTTACCCAAAAGCTAGCGACTGGAAAACAAGTGAACTCGTTTGGTGCCGTACTCGGGATGGAGCGGCGTTGCTCTACGCCGCGCTGCCAGTGACGTAGAATACTGGAGGCTCTCTCGCTTTCGCGCTGCGGGTCAGCCCGAACACACACGTGCTGGGCTGTACACGTTTGTTTTTCGTTCCTTTTTCCTCGGGCGCGTAAAAGCCGAAGTCCAAAGTCCACTCATCGAACAGCGTTTACCCACACCTTCTCTAATTTCTGGTCCGTTTAAACTTGTGAAAAAGCACCTCCGAGTTGCACAGCGGGTTGTTTGAGCAGCCCACAGCCATACAAGTTGTACTCGGCATCTTTCGAGGAACAGCTGGGCAGTCTTGGGTGCACCGAGTTGCTCGCTAAAGCGAGTCTTGGAGTCCTCACAAGGCAAAAAAAAACAAATGGCTATACCGAAGCTACAGGGGCTACAGATAAAAGCAATGGCTAAACACGCCAATCACAAGCTGAAGTAGTGGTGGTAGCGGCTCAAAGAAGCACACTCCGCACAACGCCCGGACTGGAGGAAAAAAAGAGAATGATACTGACGTCACGGCCCAATGTTGCTTTAGTGATCGGCAACCCGCTGGCCGCCCGCTAAGGAGCAGCGGCTCGCGGCGGGGCGCATTTTTGTTATCGGCATTAGTTGAGAATGCAGCGTCCCCTGGACATAACATTTTCGCTGGGGTTGTAATTCATTTCATCTTGAGTTTTAGCCAGAGTTGCCCTTTAAGGTATTTAAAAAAACCACCCCAATTTTCTCGCGTTTCCTGGTATCGGTTTTTAGGCACAAAAGAAAGAGATGCAGCAACATTAAAAGCGTCAACGAGACATGGAACTCTTGAAAAAAAAATCCAGTGTGACAGTGAAGGATGTGGGCCACAGAAGAAGCATGTACAGTCAAATCTCGTTACAACGAACGTCAGATTAACGATTTTTTCAGAATTACAAACATTTCGAAAATCCCCTTCCAAAGACCTATAGTTTCAATGCAAAAATGTTTCATTACTATGAATTTCAAAATACCGAATAATTCAGAATAACGAATGAAATTTTATCGCTGTTGCATAAGATAAACGCCTCATTACTGCGAATTTGCATCCACCACAAAAAGGAAAGCGAAAAGTTTAGCGGGATGCGGGCGATACTCGGTACGGGTTTCTCCGCTATGTGGCTTTTATAGTTGACGAGTATCATCATCATCAAACATCGGGGCGCGGGTGGAACGCGCACTTGGCCTAGCCCGAGGAGGCCGAGGAGAGTACCGCTTCTTTGTGTTCTCGGGGAACCGAAGTCTTGGTCGTTGTCGGCTGCCGCAGGTCAGTTTGGCCATTGAACGATTGAACGGACGATGAATTCAGCTGTCGCCCCCAAAAGGAAGCGGAAGCAGTTTTCATTACAAGAGAAAGTCAGCATCCTTCGGGACATTGATGCAGGAAAAAAGCAGGTCGACATCAGTAAGGATCTTGGAGTGGCGCCGTCGACCATCACGACCATCTTGAAAGATCGTGCAAAGATTACCGAGCTTCACCGGGGGTCTCAGCTTGCTCCGAGCAGGAAACGGCTGCGACTCGGTAATTTTCAAGTCGTGGATCAAGCAGTCTTGACGGGGTTCAAGGATGCCCGATTGCAAGATGGGCCAGTGTCGGGTCCACTGCTTCAAGAAAAAGCCCGGGAATTCGCCGCAGTGCTTGAAGTCACCGGTTTTGAAGCAAGTGCTGGATGGCTCTACCGTTTCCGCCAGAGAAACGGAATTACGTGGCAGACGGCCTCCGGAGAAGAAAAGGCAGCAGATGCAGAGGGCGCAGCTGCATGGACGAACGGCCACTTTCAAGAAATTGTTGAGTCGTACTCGGAGGAGGATATTTTCAACGCCGACGAGACCGCATGCTTTTATCAGGTCCTTCCGGAGAAAACGATGCATTTTAAGGGCAACAAGTGCAAAGGTGGGAAGAAGTCGAAAGTTCGCATATCCGTGCTGTTTGCCTGTAATGCAACTGGAACGAAGAAATTCAAGCCTCTCGTCATCGGGAAGTATTTAAAGCCTCGCTGCATGAAAAATGTAGTGCCGCTGCCCTGTGACTACCGAGCGAATAGCCGTGCTTGGATGACGCGCGATCTCTTTTCCGAGTGGCCCCTCAACGTTGACAGCCAAATGAGGAAGGAGGACAGGAAAATCCTCATGATCGTAGGTAACTGCTCGGCGCATCTTGTGAACGTTCGCTTGACGAATGTGCGTCTGGAGTTCTTGCCCCCGAATTGCACTTCATTGCTGCAGCCTCTGGACCAAGGAGGAATTATCAAGAGCGTCAAGACGGAATTTCGAAGGCGCCTTGTTCAGCGGCTGCTGATTAACCTCGAATGAACCAGCCAACATCAATAAACGTCAAGCAGGCGGCGGAAATGCTTACCGAATCGTGGTGGAACGTCAAGCCGACCACCATTCAAAACTGCTGGAGGAAGGCAGGTCTACTGAAGACGCCAGCCCATCCACAAGCTCTCGAGTGCCAGGAAGACGACGACGACGCAAGCGAGTTGTGGGAAGAGGCACAAGGAAAGCTCGCCGTAGCCCCTTCGGTGACGTTCGATGATTACGTCCAGTGCGACGCGGCAGCGTGGACGGCGGCGGAGCTGACAACCGAGGACATCGTGGGCAGCGTTCACAAGCCAGAGGATGCCAGCGATGAAGACGCGGAGGTGGAAATCGCTGATCGCCCTGACGGCTCTGTCTCAAACTCCAATGTCCTGAGCGCTATCAGGAAGCTGCGCGCCTACCTTGAGGCTTCTACCAGTGTGCCCGAGGCGCTATACAAGAATGTGGACGATATAGAGTCGTTTGTCTTGCGCCGTTTGTGCTCCACGCAGCAAAAAAAGATCACCGATTTCTTCAAATAAATGCTGCGTCTTCAACCGTGTGTATTTATTGGTTGGAGATTACTATCTCCGAGTGTACCGTTGCTATAGAGCTGAGGTAGGTCGTCTCTTCTCTCCAATATAATTATTGGCGCTAATCTACGAGATTTTCACTTTAACGATATTTCAGAATAACGAATGATTTCGGGTGGTCCCTTGAAATTCGTTATATCGAAATTTGACTGTAGTATTATTCCGGGAGCTGCACAAGAAAGCAGAAGCTTTGCAGCAGTGCCAGCTGCTCAATGTGCAGCTGCAAAGGGCACTTTGTGCAAATATAAAGAAAGCAGGAAAGTTTGTAATTTAGCTTTTATACTAATTACTTACTACACGGCACATAACAGCGATTTTTTGTAGAGAACCTCAAGAACAAGCTTTTGTGCTTGTGCTTGCTAGAAAAATCGGTACTCACGAATATCGTACCTTAAATTTATGTAGTTTCTGAGGTCAAAGTGGTTTTTGAGATCATCTGTTGTTAATGATAACTCCTACAGGCTCTATACTTCGTCTCACCTTAGCGCAGAACGATTGCCGAGGTTGTGCTACACGAGAGAGTAGCTCTGACTGGCGGCAGGGCTGCACGAGCACTCGTGCAATCTCTGAGGCGTTCAGTTCCAGACTAGTTCAGATGACAGTAAAACAAAAAAGGAAAAATATTTTTTGGTTCTAACCGCGCTTTATTCTTGGCAAGCGTGTGCTCGTTGTCTGGATGTTATAGTCGTTTCTTCTCTCAAGCAATGCTGCAACTACCGCATTCGTCAAAGTTTAGTGGCACTTCCAAGCATTAGTGTTTAAGAACCAGAGAAGGAAGATATTTTCAGCCAAAACAATAAAACTACTTGCAATCTGTTGGATGCTGATCAAACTAAGCATGTTTTGTGTTTTGTTCAACAACTGACAGCACCCACATCCTCAGCCAAAAAAGTTGACAGGCATTTGGGGGGACCCAGTTAAAAATACCCATTGAGTCCAATTGGAATTTCAATTGGTACCAATTGGTATCAGTGGGAACCAACTGGTATGAAGACAACCAATTGGCCATTCCAATTGGAATGCATTTTCCCAATTGGTCACACCATTTGGAAATATATATACCAGTTGGTACTAATCAACCAATTGGCCATTCCAATTGGAACACATTTTTCCAATTGGTCACTCCAATTGGAAATATATATTCGAGTTGATATTAATCAACCATTTGGCCATTCCAATTGGAATGCATTTTTCCAATTGGTCACTCCAATTGGAAATATATATTCGAGTTGATATTAATCAACCATTTGGCCATTCCAATTGGAATGCATTTTTCCAATTGGTCCCTTCAATTGGCAATATAGATTCCAATTGGTATTAAACAACCAATTGGCCATTCCAATCGGAATGCATTTTTCCAATTGGTCAGTCCAGTTGGAAATATATATTTCAATTGGTATTAAATGACCAATTGGCCATTTCAATTGGAATGCATTTTTCCAATAGGTATTAAATAACCAATTGGCCATTCCAATTGGAAATTACTTTTCCGATTGGTATTAAGCAACCAATTGGGACAGTTATTACAATTGGATTCTTGGAGATTGGAGCTCTAGAATAATTTTGCACTGAAGGATTATGAGCTTACTCTTCTGAATCAAGAATAAACCGATAAAATGTGGAATTTTTTTCAAGGGTGTGGGGAACGCCAACAAAAAAATCGAGTCACTGGCCACCTCATTACATGTGATGCAACTCATATATTACTCCTATTCGTTTTTTTTTTTGTCCTTTCTTTGCGTTTGTTTATATATATAATATATATATAATACTTTATTATTAATCTGATGGCTTTTTGTTTTAACAATTCTTTTTTTTTTTTTAGTTTTACTTATAGTTTCGGTTTGAAAGTTGGAACGCCCCATCGCTAGTGACACCAGTAGGTGTTTGTTTTTCTGGGAGCACATGTGTGGGATGTGAGTAGGAGGATGTGAAAATGTGATATTTTCATCAAGTTTACCAACACAGAGGTGGAAGCAAGCTTCAGCCGTTTGGAGCAGGTCTGGGAGCAGCAAAAATGTTCCCTTGGAGCACCTTTGGAGCAGTAAAAGTTCAACTTTGGAGCAGCTCAGGAGCAACAAAAATCGAGTTTCATAGCAGTATAAGCAACTCTTGGAGCTGCTTGGTGCCATAAGCACAGATGTGTTTTTAAAAATACAAAAAGAAATATAAATAAAAAAGCATCTCCATGGGACGTTCCAGAACCATTTCCAAACATGACCTTTCCCTAAATATATTCCAGCCCTTAGCAAAAAAGATATTCGAATGGCTGCCATTGAGAACTGTTCTGGTGGTAGTGGGTTGGTTCTTCTCATAGATTTACAATAGTAGGCATAAACAACTAAAGAAAAACAACTTAAGCCTCATGAAAACAAGACATTTTCACTGTTTAACATCCCAAGTCGCATGTTCCATAAGTTAAAAACAAAACCATTTCAAGCTGCAATAGTATGGTATGAAATAATGTCCAGTACTGAATACAGTTCATTAGGAAATACACGTGTTTCAAGTACCTGTTTAGCAAAGAAAAGCATTCCAATACTCTGAACAGTGTGCAAATCAAAAGTATTCCAATGCTGAACAGTGTACAAATCTACTCTATCTGATAAAAGTACAAATGCCAAATATTGAAAACTTCATGATACCATTCCTGTTCATACATATGCACTTAATTAACCCTTACTAAAAGAAGCATCACTGACTAAATAAAAACAAAAAAAGCTTGATTAGGAGTTTAATGAAAAAAATTGACTGACAAAACTAGCAAGTAAGACCATAAAACGGAAGGTTTTTCTTAAAGGGGCACTGACACATCAAAATCTTTTTTTTTATTATCCGAAACGATTGAAAACGATGCCGGGACATTACCCTCAAGATCTAAAATTAGGGAATTCAGTGTTTGTGAAATAAAAAAACAATTTCCAAATGCCGAATTCGAAGTTCCCGCGCGATCCGCGCCAGTGCGTTGACGTCAAATATTGCGGACTCCTGAGAGTCCACTTTTTTTCAGGACTCCCTGCTGTTGTTATGGCGACCCAAAGCAAGGAGGAAAGGAGCGAGCGCCGGCGTTGCGGCGGACCGGTTTTGAGCGGTGTCGCCTGTTTTCCGTGGGGGGATACAAATCCAGGAGACGGCACCACAACGAACTCCCGATTTTTGGTATTCCAAAAAGAAGGGCCGTAGTGCATTCACAATTGCGTTAAAAAACATGTTTTAGGATTGCCGTTGTTATTAAATGTTATAGAGATGTCGCCTACAAAGCTTCTAAATTTCCTGATTTTTGACGTCACCGATCAAAAGAAGCGAGGAGGCGAGAGGCGGGAAAATCAAACGCCAAAAATAAAAAGGCGCGCGCGCGCGCAAAAAACTTTTTTTTCGTGATGCGTATTTTTTTTTGCGTGTCTATGACTGCAACTTGCATCGTTTGAGACAATAAAAAAAAATTACGACCTTTAGGGTGTCAGTGCCCCTTTAAGTCAGGAGCACAAGTTTGTCTGCTGCTTGCACAGGGGTTGCGTGACGTCAAAACGCCAAGCTCTTATTGGCTGATTAAAAAAAGTAGTGGGTATACCTCAAGGCATTTAGCATTGAGGTCTACCCACTATCATTTCAATCAAAACCAATCAGAGCTCGGCGTTGTTCTGAAGTCACCGCATCTCCTGTGCAAGAAGCAGACGAATAGCTCTCTGCATTGCTTGGATGCATTCTAGCACAACAGTTTAGAATTCGCTTCGCTCAGCAGCACATTCCCACTGTTCTCCTCGTCCTCCCGCCGGCTCGCTGTTTGGGTGTCAGCAGGTGTATTCGCCACGTACGTCATTTACAAGAAACTCTACAGATGATTGAGGCAACCACTTATCGCTTTTATATGTTACGTTTACGACACGAATGAGGAATGCGAAAGCAGTCTCAGCAAAAGCACCTCCTCCTCCTCCTCCACGTCGGAGGAGGAGGAGGAGAGGGGGGCACTACAAGCTACGTGAAACGGAAACTCTTCAACTTTAAAGTTTAACTTTTCCCTCACCACAGTCTCGGGTTTTAAACATCATGATTAACTATCACCAGCTCGCCTGTGCACCCACTGTCCTTTCGTTACTGATACTTAGGGTTGTCAGTTTTCGGGTAAAACCCGATTTTACCCGATTTTTACACCCCGAACATGTTTCAGGAGAATCGGGTTAAACCCGATTTCTCCCCAAATTCCAAAACCACATAACAAACCTTTTTATTTTTACGCACGCTAGCTAACCAACCGCCCAACGAGCGCGCCTAACTCACCATGACATTCTACGGAGGCCGGCTGAGGAAAAGCGACAATAGGCGTTGGGGCCTCGGAGAGACATTTCCGTCCCGCCACGCAGCTTCGGCCCTGCTGCCTGCAGCTTGTGAAATGCACGATCAATCCCCCTTCAATGGCTGAGGTGTCGACGCCCAGCAGGGTCTCTCGGGTAGCATGGCCATCTCGCTGGCGTCCAACTTTTCTCACAGACAACGTCCGAGCCAGGCAGTCGCGTAAACAGATCGGGAAAACTGAACAGGTTTATTCCATAGCGAAATATCTGATTGAAGACGACCGTCCCTCCAACGGTCGGGGTTTTTGTTGACACCTGAGGGAGGAGGATTCCGTGGGCGGTGCTTCCCTTGAAGCGGCCGACAGCAATCGGAGTCGGAAAGCCCTGATGTCCTCCCGATTACCAGCTTGAAACAGACCCCCAGTTTTAACGCGTTAGCGTTAAAGAGCTCGTATTTTGCTCCAATACAAAAAAAAAAAAAAAGTATTACTGAGTCCATTTGTAAATTTAACCCGAAAAAACCCGAATTTCAGAATGTTTCCACAAAAAACCCGATTTCTCCCCGATTATCAGCTTGAAAAGTAGCACCCGATTTTTACACCACCCCCCCCCCCCCCCCCCCGCCCCCCCCTCCCCCCCCCCCCCCCCCCTCCCCCCCCCCCCCCCGAGTTTAAAAAGAATATAAAACCCGAAATCAAA